TATGTATGTATGTATGTACATGCCTGGAGAAGCCTGCGCCAACATCCAGGCGCACGCATCGTGCCCGCATCTTGCAGCTGGAGTCTGTGTACCAGGGATTGGCCATGCAGGTGAGTCTTCAGACAAAAGCTGGAGTCCGGACTATGAGCCATAGGCCATGGGGAGCTTGCACAAAGCGTGCGTGTAAGGCGCATGAACCTTTCCCTGTAAGGTGTCGATGGCGGCCAGCCTTCTGGAGGCTTGGGAATCCGAAGGTCAATCAGTGGACACATTCTCCCGCGTTTACGACCAGATAATCGGGGCCATCTCCAGCGATTTGCGTCCTGAGCCAAACCTGATAGCTGACTACGGAAAAATCCAAACAAGCTGAAGCAGCAATGGAGCCCTAGAGCAAACTTCAGCTTGAACCGACAACTTCGTTCATCTCGATCCTTGTGACAGGATATCACGCTCACACAGAATGCGTCTTGTCTTCTGATCTGAGCCATGGAACCTGAGCCATCTGCCCCATCGACAGCTCTTGCAAAAAGTGCTGACCTCAAACTTCGCAATGCCGTGTTGTGAGTGCAGCAACAAATCTGGACAGAATGGATAGATGTCTTCCTGGCACACCATGGCAGCAGAGGGCTGGAACTTTGCAAGTGAAGTTGAGCATCGAGTCAGTCCTCTAAGTACTTGAGACAGACGGGCGTTGTGTCCTTGCCTGGACGAGCTGAGTGCGGCGAAATGTTACGTCCCAGGTAAGATCGAGAAGCCGAAGAAGGCAGATTTTCGCCAGCGAGCCCACTGCAATCCTCTTTGTGACTCTTGGGCCTCAAGATAGGGTTTTTAGGACAACTCTCAACTCATCTCATGATCCCGCAGTTGGAAGTTTTCGGGCTTCAGCGAAGTTGGCAAGGACTGGGGCGACTGTTATCCGGCACTGCTCTCAGTGACTGCTTTTCGTTTCTGTGGGGAAGCGCTGAAACAGATCCTGCCTTCCGTCCCTGTGAGGCGTCTCCAGACCATGTGGACTGGTCGGTGCACTTCCCCTCCTTCTTCGAAGGCAGCCCGGACAGGCTCCAGCTGAACACCGCCGAGAACCCTATCGAGTGCTCCCTGCGGTTTTCGTAGCTCTCGGTTCGCATGCTACGTAGCTTCCACGGAACACAAGTCCATCTGAGGCAGCGGCTGCCAGTGCATGTTGCACCTCGACTAGTGACTATTCTCTGGCACCACGAAGCTGCAAAACATAAGCTTCTACTTCTAACACATTGCTGGAAATCAACACTTGGTCTTTCAGACGTGGACCTGTTCGTAATGGTGGCTAGGTACTTGGGAGTCGTGCCAGATGCGCGGAATGGCAAGGACAGCCGTTTTCTCTGGGAGCCACAGTTCACGCGGTCACTGAGAGCCTTGCTTGAGTTACCTCGCGAGGCTGGCACACATAAAGTCCGATTTCTGGACGTTGGCTGTGGTTTCGGGGGCCTCCTTATGGCACTGAGCCCCAAGTTCCCGGACAAGCCCCTTGGCGTTGCTTGAACAGCGTCATCTTCGTCAGGTGTTGTGTGCGAGCGTAGAACGTTCCAGTCTGTACCAAGGCTAATGCTTGGCATGGAGATTCGCGAACAGGTCACGAACTACGTGGGGAAGCGAATCCAGGCAATGCGACAGGGGGCAGAGGGGTCGCCCTCCCACCACAACGTTTCAGCTTCTTGGCCTTTCTTGGCCCCACAGGGGCGTTGATGAGTTTGAAGGTCAAGCTGGGCATGAGAGAAGCTGTAAGAAACCCGGAGGGAAGCAATCCAGCCCAGGTAATCCGGACCAATGCGATGAAATTCCTGCCGAACTACTTTCGGTTCCTTAGCCGTCTAACGACTGCATGTGCACGCGAGCCTGTGCATCTCTGACTATGCCCAGGAAAGGACAGCTGGAGAAAATGTTCTTCTGCTTCCCGGATCCACATTTCAAGCGCAACTTGTCACATTGTGTCTTGGTCTCGTGATGACGGGAGCTAGTCTCAAAAGAGCGCTTGGAGGCAAAAATGCTCGCCGACGTATCATCAGCCACGGACTGCTGTCCGTATACGCGTACGTGATGGCTCCTGACGGACTGTCCACTTCTAAGTGCTGTGGAAGATTTTGCAAGTTGGTAAATGCTGCATCGGCCGAGCTGCTTCTAGGTTGTACCATGCCACAGACGTCAAAGACCTCCACGAGTGGATGGACACTGCCTGTGAGGAACATCCAATGTTCCGACGTGCCCGGCACTCAGGAGAGCATCAGGAGGTCTTTGAGCCATACATCATATTCACATCATATTCATCGATAGTGCTTTCACACCAATATCGACACGCAAAAGTCTGGACAAACCCCGTGGCCTTGAGGAGTTACACGAGTAAGGGCACGGTGTGTCCAAAAGACGTTCAACATTCCTTGTTTTTGCGGTGTTCCGTGAAGATGTTAAACTGCTAGTTCCTCTTTGGTCACGAAGCCGTGCTGCATGCGCAGCAGGATAAATGAATCGTCCCCGGCGAGGTCTAGAGTGGCTTTTCTGAGTATTGCGTGCTTGTGTGGATGACGACGACGATTTATGCCGCCACCGCCTGGGGCGACGACACATGTAGCAAGACCTCAGCCAGCTCCCTGTGCTTGTCATGGATTAGTTGATTAGTTGCGACTCAGTTACGATATAATATATATATATATA